AAACCCTCTTTTTTTTTTTTTTTTTTTTTTTTTTTTTTTTTTGTGAACAGTCACTTGGTAATGAGGATGAACTTTTGTCCAAAGCCCAGCAAATAAAAATCAATGCTGAATTCTGACTCTGTCACCCTTTCCGTGACTTTTTTAATGATGAAAATGAGTGTTTCGTTAGCTGTCCGCTAGGGAGCACTGCAGCCTAATTTTTTTTCCTATTTAAATAGCTCACAAACTGAAAGTGTGTATAAGAATTGTTGTATCCTTTAGAAGGCCTGGGCGTGCACCGAGCGCCACGTCACCCTTCAGCGGGACACTTAGGCGTTCACTTTCAAAATTCAGCAGGTGGTGTGCTTCTTTTGCAGGCCTGGTTCCTGCAGCGCCATGTATGCATTCAGTAACACATGTACCTGGCTGCCTGCGTGCACAAATAAAGGATTTGTATCTGTGGTTTGAGTAATAGGGCCCACAAGTTAGGCCTGTATTTTAACGTTCACCTGAATTCAGGCAGTTCACTTTCAAAAATTGCTCCACAGAAATCATGAACGAGCAAAGAACAAAACGATGTGAAATGAAAATGGAGGCATTCTGTCTCTGAAGCCATTTCGGTAAAGGAAAGGCAGGAGGTGTGGGAGATCCCATGTTTTAAATTGTTGATGTGTATTTGACCAAGTAACTCCGTGCCCAGCAGGTACATTTTGAATGAGCATGCATACTGCTTACATGAACTATCAACTTGAGTCATTTATTGTGGCAGAGGGAATGGGAATATTTTTGGGGATTGCAATTGGATAATGAATTATGGGACAACTGCCATGTAGCCTTGCTGTATCTACATTTTCTTTTTTGTGTTTGCCATCTGTCTTGTTCACTTCTTCTACCTGCACAAATAAAACTGCCTTGTAGAGTTTATCAGGCAGGAGGCTGGAAGCTTTGATAGCTGGAGAAGGGAGGGTTGGTGGTTTTTTGACCCTGGGAAGGGTGAGGTTCAGGATTGAGGAACTAGAGAAGTTTGGGTTTTGGCTCCAGGCAAAATTTGCCTGAGTTTTCTAACTAAAACAGGGTTCTAGCTCTATGTTAAAACAAGTATCCTTTCCAAATTTACAGTACTTGGCTCCTAGTTCACTAAAGAACTTTAATATATACTTAACATTAAGGACATGCTTAGATGCTTTTTCAATTACACCCTTACTTCTTGAAACCAAAATGTTATTTTTATAGGAGTTTACAACAAAATAATTGAATTAACTAGAATTCAAATTAATTGAGAAAGGAGTTTGAAGGGAATTTTATAGTCAAATCATCTTTCTTAGAATAAGCACTCTTGAAAGTGTTACGTGATGTGAAAGCTCACTAAGATCTTGGGCACAGGCGATGCTTAAAGAAATGTAGGATTTAATTAAGCTGAATTATTAATAATTACTCCCAACTATGATGCTGATAAGCAGGTGTTAAATTAACAGCTTGGGGCATTCTGGGCCATTGCGGTATGCAGGGAACTCAACACACCAGAGGTGGGAATGGTTAGGTAGGGAGGAGTTTCAGGGTATAGGGGCAGGGGCCAGGGCGGCTGTTCTGGGACAAATGGATGAGTGGGTTATTCAGACCAGCGTCGCTGGTAGTGGAGGAACCTTCATATGAAAAGAGATGATGTGAGTAGGCAGGTGAGGAGCTCTACAGGCCTTTGAAAATCACTGAATCATAGGAAGTTAGTGTTGGGGGGACCTCTGGAGGTCACATCCAGTCCAACCCCCTGCTCAAAGCAGGACAATCCCCAACTAGATCATCCCGGCCCAAGCTTTGTCTAGCCAGGTCTTGAAAACCTCCAAGAATGGAGTTTCCACCACCACCTTTCTGGGTAACCTGTGCCAGTGTTTTACTACCCTCCTAGTGAGAAGGTTCTTCCTAATATCTAACCTAAACTTCCCTTGCTGCAACCTGAGACCATTGCTCCTTGTT